TGGCTCTAGTCCAGTTCTGCCAACCAAAAGCAGCAAGAGCCCGAGCTGGTTAGTGACCTCTCTGGGCTTCACTTGCTATGCAGTAAAATCTTTATACCCCACTCCTGCTCACTACTCTGTGAGACCGGGGGCTTACCTGTCTGTCTCTCACCTCTTCTATTCTGCAGCTCCTTTCAAAGTGTCTTGATTGACTATTGAAACGACCAATGACAGCATCATTATGAAAGATCAGTTGAACTGCTCTGCAGCTAAATCTGAGTCCCAGATCTATCTCTCCAGCCCAGTGAGGCTTCCAGCCACATTCAAATGTCCTAGGCCACCACCAGCCATGGCTCAGTGGTGCTCATGGAGCCCCATGCAAGTAGAAAAGCGAATCTGCCAGAGCAATAGCAGTAAGAACACTGATAAGTGTCAAAACTAAGGAGAAATTATTTTTAGATTTTCTGTCTTAGGTTAGCTGCATTATTGTTCCCATCCAATGTTTTTAAGAAAAATGTTAGTTAAGGGAAATCTGAGGACAGAGATGGTGAGCCGATTATAACTCATTTCTAGTCTGGGGAAAGTGGGAGATGTAGGCAGGGGTAGGGTGTGTCTCATTTGGGGGAGTTGGAGGGAGAGTTTAAAAATAAAGAGTACATAGTGGGTAAGAAGACAGACTATCAGGGGCTAGACTGCTTGGGTGCAAATCTAGATTTACCACTAATGAAAGATATGATACTTAATTTCTTTGGACCTCTATTTCCTTATCTATAAAATGGGTATGATAAGAGTCTACTGTTTTATTGGGTTGTCATTAAGATTAGGTAAATTAAATTTTGCCTAATCTAATTAGGCAAATTACATGCTAATTTCTTTATGGGCATTTGCCTGGTACACAAAAGTGCTGGTTATTACTGCTCATGAGGAGTAAATCTGCCCTGTGTCCCAGGGAGCAGAGGCAGGCAGGCCTTGTAGTGTTTTCTCTCTCTGCACTGTCTTCTGCTAGGAAGAAGCAGACTTGAGTTATTGAAGCTTTGAAAGTATCTGTTATCTTTCTCTCTCCCCTAGCAAAGGCACTTCTAATGTACAGTCCTAGAGTCTGAAACAATTCCTCCTAAGTAAGCCAGTTTAATTAACTCTTCTTCAGTTTAATTAACCCTTTGCCTCATTTCACACAGCCATGCTTTCAGAGCCCCGACACATCAAGGCTATCACCCAGCCTTCCTCGTTATCCAAATTGCTAGGCAGCGCGAACAGAGAGGGAGAGAACCGCATTGTTTGTGTCTCCACACCACCCACCCCCGCCCCACTCAGCTGCTCTTAAGAGATGAAAAGAAAAAAGAGTGAGGAGAGAGAGTGGGTGGGGAGCTGTGGTGGGCACTGCAGCAGCTTCACTCTGCCCAAACCCCGGACAGCAAAGCCTCTCCCTCTCCCTCGCACCTACAGCTATCATGCAGCCAAGGTGCGCAAGCCAGGCTTGTTAAAGGTGCTCAACATGAAATAGTGCCCCTCACCAAAAACAGAGAGTTCTGGAAGGGCCAGGAAATGATCCTACCTCCTCAGCTTTACCCCGAGATCCACACTGCTCTTCCTCTGTTGGAAAGTCTCTCCCCATAGATGCAAAAAGAAATAGCAAAAAGTGATGCTGATAAATAAAATCCCTCCAAAATAAGCATTAGATAGAAAATGCCACGCTATTTGCATTCCTTTTTATTCTTTCATTCAGTTTGCCTGTTGCCCTTTGCACCAGCTAAACTGCTCCTGCACGCTATGGTACAAAAGTAGTGGACAAACTGCACTTCCAGGATTGATTGCAAACTGATTCTAAGGGAAGATAAAAAGGAGATCGTGCAATAGAAAGAGATGGCCTTACTACCTATTAGAAACATCAAACCTCCTCCTCCTTGGTGTGGCCTCCAGTCTCCTCCCACCTCCTGTCTGCTCCATTCCGGAGGAGTCTGAGGAGAACAGCAGATCTACCTGCTGTTAATGCTGTGCAGGTGTGGCCTGCAGTGTGTCACTGGGTAAGGCTTGGAAAGAAATTGTGTTTCGATGGCAAATTCAGAGGATACTGAAGGGTACTCTGAAAGGAAACTTAGACGAGATACACAGCACCTCTTCTCATGTTGACAGAGTACTTATTAATCAAACTGTCAGGGATGTTTTAGTCCTGACGCCCACATCCAGGCCTCCCACAAAGCATGCAGCTGCCTCAGTGCCTGCTCCTGTCTCTGCACAGATCTGGGGCTGAGGTTCAAGGCTAAATAAATCCGGATTGTCTCTTGGACTCTGGTGGCCCTTTTCCTGAATCTCAGCTAGGTTATGGAAAGTTCTGGGTTTGTCTTCAGGAACTGAGAATCTGTTCCTAACTTCCTATAAGCAGTTAAACCCTTCAGCGCTCCCTATCGAAGTTCCAATTCTTTTCTTTCTTTTTCTTTCTTTCTTTCTTTCTTTCTTTCTTTCTTTCTTTCTTTCTTTCTTTCTTTCTTTCTTTCTTTATCTCTTTCTCTCTTTCTCTCTTTCTCTCTTTCTTTCTCTTTCTTTCTTTCTTTCTTTCTATTCTCTTTCTTTCTTTCTTTCTTTCTATCTTTCTTTCTTCTTTCTGTCTTTCTTTCTTTTTTTGAGACAGGGGCTCACTACGCAGTTCAGGCTGGCCTCAAACTTACTTTGTAACCCAGGCTGGCCTCAAACTCACAGCGATCCTCCTGCCTCGGCCTCCCAAGTGCTGGAGTTGCAGGTGTGCACCACCATGACCGGCCATGCAATTCCAACTTTAGTTTCCTCCTTAAGGTGATGAAATTGTCTGAGATGCTCTGGAAGGCCCTCATCTGCATCACATCTTAGTGCTTCTGTGACATTCAACTCCAAAGTGGCTCGGAAAAGACAGAGTAGGGCGGGGAGGAGGGTGGAGAAGCAGAGAGTACATGCACACTTCCAGCCTTAGGCAGGGGACTTAGGCGGAGGACCTATCAATCAGGCTGCAGAGAGCCTGCTGCTCACCACTGGTCAACTGTGTGCAAGTGGCGATCAAGAGTAAGCACCACAATGTCACGGGCTCCAGCCAAGGTTTCTTCGGCAAGTGCAAAGTGAGAAGAGCAGCTGTCCAGATCCTAGTCTTAGACTCAAGGCAGCTGCACTGTTTTTTCTGAACAAGTCAGTAATATGTTCCCCCCAGGAAGGGAAAGGACCAGTGAACCATTTGCCTCCTCTGCAGCCAGCAGTGCCAGCTTCGTCATTCTCAAACTTGCATTTGCACCTGCACAGGACCCCTTCCCAGCTGGCAGGGCCAGAAGAGCCGCACCCCTAAGCGCCCCTCTTGCTTCTCTCCCACAGGCGCCTCCCCGAAGGCCGTGCATGGACAGCCCCAGCAACGCCACCTTGCCCCACGGCTTTCTCCTTCAAGGCTTCTTCGAGTTCCCGCACCTGAGGCCGGCGCTGTTCCTGCTGCTGCTGGCTGTACACCTGACCACCCTCAGCGGGAACCTGCTCATCCTGGTGGCGGTGGCCTCAGTGCCCAGCCGGCCGCCCATGCTGCTCTTCCTGTGCCAGCTGTCGGTCATCGAGCTCTGCTACACCCTGGTGGTGGTGCCCCGCTCCCTGGCCGACCTGAGCATGCCGGGCCCCGCCAGGGGCAGCCCCATCTCCTTCCTGGGCTGCGCGGTTCAGATGCAGATGTTCGTGGCCCTGGGCGGGGCCGAGTGCTTCCTGCTGGCCGCGATGGCCTATGACCGCTACGTGGCCATCTGCCACCCGCTGCGCTACGCTGCCGTGGTGACCCCTGGGCTGTGCGCGCGACTGGCTGTGGCCTGCTGCCTCGGGGGCCTGGCAGTGTCTCTGGGGCTCACTGTGGCCGTCTTCCACCTGCCCTTCTGCGGCTCCCACCTGCTGGTGCATTTCTTCTGTGACATCACTGCGCTGCTGCACCTGGCCTGTACCCGGAGCTACGCCGAGGAGCTGCCGCTGCTGGGCGCCTGCCTGGTGTTGCTGCTGCTGCCCTCCATGCTCATCCTGGCCTCCTATGGGGCCATCGCTGCCGCCCTGCGCCGCTTGCATTTTGCTGGGGGCCGCCGCAAGGCCGCGTCCACCTGCACTTCGCACCTGGTGGTTACCTTCCTGCACTACGGCTGCGCCACCTTCATGTACGTGCGGCCCAAGGCCACCTACTCTCCGAGGCTGGACCGCACCTTGGCACTGGTCTACACCAACGTCACTCCGTTGCTCTACCCCCTCATCTACAGCCTGCGCAACCGCGAGATCACCGCCGCCATCCGCAGGGTGCTGGGGCGCTTGAGGCCCAGCAAAGCAGGAGATCAAGGGCTGTGTGAGCCCTGAGAGTGGGAAGGGACAGGCCAGAGTGGACAGTTGCCCCGTCTCCAGAGGTTCCCATCAGGAAAGCTGCAGGGGCCACTCAAAGACCTTGTTAAGGAAAGAGCATTTGGAAACTGGCCCACAAGGGGCCCGGTCCTCCTGCCTCCCTAGAGGAATGGCCGAAGTCGAGTAGTAGAGAGCCGTGGATTTAGATTTAGTGGTTCCATGAATACCTGAGGAGTTCTCCCCGAGCCGCGGGCCTGCTCAGGGTGATACGCTTGGTGAAAAAGCCTCAAGGGGTGGCCTCCAGGAGCTCCTGCCTGAGAAAGACAGGCAGAAGTGAGCAAGGGACGGAGGCCCATGCCAAGCTTTGGGGACCTGGGGCAGTCAAGAGATTCTTTAGGGGGCAGCTGGAGAACTATAGGGGTCCCCTGGGTGGAGAGAAGGGTGGGAAATGCTCCCTGCAGACAGCTTAACAGGCTTTGGCGTATTAGGAAGGTTCGCAGAAACCGCCAAAGGATCTGAATCCCAGGCTTGGTGGGAAGTCCTCTCTTCTCCTCTGGTCACTCAGGCTGCTGTGTGGCAAGTGGCCTGGAGATGTGGAACACATCTGGGAACCTGCTGTCAAAATCCAGTGAGATGCAATGGAGTTTGGGCTGGAATCCCTGCACTGGAAGTTAAGTGACACGGAAAGAGTTGAGAGCGGAGCAAGTGGAGGCTATGGGACCTTGACTGGATGTGGGGTGAGCAAGAAATAGGAGCTGGGGTCGCTTCTACCAGGGTCACTTGGTGGACTGTGGCAGCTTTGCTGAGGAGAACAGGGCAGGAGCGGGTGAGGAAAGGGAAATAACAGCTGGGAAAAACCAGTGAAGATGCTGATAGAGGAGGCAAAGACACCAATTCAGAGCTCAGGGTTAAGGCCAAGAGGGAGAGTCTATGTGGGGGAGATCACCAGGAAAAAATTGCAGAGGGAAAAGGAAGGCAGCACAGCCACAACCCCGCAGGAGGCTGGCACACAATCTTGCCAAGTGAGCTTCCATTTTCCTGGGATATTAAAGGTGATTGGTAGAGGTCGAGAGCATATAAACTTGCAATTACAATGATCAGTAGTTATCTCAGAGGAATTGCAGTGGTAAATCTAATTCAAGATAACCTTGGAAAACTAAGCAGGGAGCTTTGACTGGCACACTTTGCTCTCTCCAGGTTTCACAGATAAGAGCATGACGCTAAAAAGTTACACATTAGGAAGGTGCCTAGACAGTAACAGTGTACAACAGAGGGACAAGGGGAGTGAGGGGCTGTGGCAGACAAGTGGAGGTTTGTCTGGGATGTGGAAAGAGAAGCAGGTCCATTGCATCTCACTGGAATTTGACAGCAGATTCCGAGAGTGTTCCATGTCTCCAGGGCAGTACAGCGCGAGCCAGTACAGTCAGAAGACAGGATGCAAGACAGGATTCGAGGGACACTAATATTAAAGGATGAGCTGGCTTTTCTGAGTGTGATGCAGAACGTGGAATTCATTATCTATGTGCAAAAAGATCCCAAAGCTTTCTGCACCCCCAGTTGGGGATCCAGCCTTCCACAAACACAGGAGTCTTCAGAGGACATTTCCGATCCAAACCGTAGACAGACATTCACTAGGTTTCTCATAAGTTCTTCACTGAGAAAACCAAAACGAAAGAGGGAAAGACAAACTGAGAAAATGGGCAAAGGATGTTCACAGAGTGTCCACAGAAAAGGAAATCCAAATGAATTTTCACGTAGAAAAGAATTTCAATCTGAATAAAATTGTGCAATAGTGTCTGACACGGTCACGTTAACAGCACTCCGAAGACAAGTAGCGCAGGGCCAGGAGGGTGAATCAGCGCTCGGGGGTATGTTTTCACAGTTGCAATACATGGCACGCAGATGGGGCTCATTACACTTGATGGCATCTATCACTTTGTTTCAAACATTTTATTTCCAAGGCCTGATCCTGCAAATTTACTTGTGTTGTGGTGGAAAAAAAATACCACAATACCAGAACTTAACATCTAACTATAACTTTGCATGTGTTGATCAGTCTCTTCCCATTCCCAATACATGATGGACCAAAATTTTGTCCTTATATTGGAATCATAGACAGGTGCCAAAATGAATCAGACAGTTTTCTCTGTGGTAGATATCAAACTAGGTATGTTATAAGCTATACAGTGGGAAAAGCAGGGTATGGGAGAGTATTAAGCAGTCATCTTCCAATCCATCCTTTTCTTTTTGACCCATGTCAGGATTACACTTTTTGCTTCCTCTCTGGAAAGCCATTTCCACAGAGCTTTCCAGGCTGTCCCCTGCTTCTTCAGATGCTGTCTCAATCCAAATATTTATTCCTGGAGGGACCCAAATATCGACTCCTCTGCTGGAGGAGCAGAGCTCGTGGACCACTCACTCACAGTAGCATGGAAATGGCTTTATTTACTTTTAAGTTGCCCATTCTTCCCAATACAAACTTTATGAAAGGATGTCTGCTTGCTTTATTTACTGTGGTATCCCCAGCCCCTGAGCAGTGTCTATCTTGGAGTAGCTGCTCAATAAATTGTTGAAAGAAAGAGTGAATGAATCATGTTTATGGCACCCTACCATTTACATACAAAAATGCACATTGTATGTGTATATGTTATGTGTTGTATTGTGTGTGTGTGTGCGCTCTGTGAGTTTTATATGTGTGCACATATATTTCTGCCAAAGGAAAGTCTGGGGCTGGATAGTAAAGATAAGACAAACCTATATTTTTCATTCAATACCTTTCCTATATACACATATGTGTTAGTCATTCAACAAATGTTTTCCAAGATAAAAATACAGAACCGGTGGAAGTAAAGGAATGCACAGCAGATTTCTAAAAAGAGCAATCAGAAAAATAGAAGAAAGCCCAAGAAATTGTGGTGCCATGGAAACTATGAGGGGAATCGCAAGGATGGAGTGGTCAACAGTGTCAAACACTGCTTCCACTTCTAGAAAACTATACTGCTGAGGCGGGAGTCGGCTTTCGAGATATGTAAGGTAAACCCAAAGTGCTGAAATCACCTGCACCAACCTCAGCAAGGCACATGCAGAGGTCAGATGGCTAAATAGCAGATTTCACCCCTCAAAATACTGTGGAGCCAGAGAGCACACAATGACTGCCAAGTATGGCTAAGGCCTCGAACTGTGAAAAGCTCAAATCCTGTTTAACCACAGCAATAGGCTGTAACATTGGCTTTAGTTCTAAATAAATACTGAAATATTTAACGCTGTTCAGTGATTTGTACCTGCTATGGAAGGTCACAAATCCAGAAACAACTGCTCTTGAAAGAAGCTTTAGTACCTATAGTTCCCAAGAAAAGGGAACGTGCCACGCTACACAGGGCACATGGTGAGGCAGATGGCTCATTAGGAAGCAGAAGGAGCAATGAAAATCACAGCCTGGCCTTCAGCATGGGGTCCATGTGAAAGGCAAGGCCAGGCAGAAGGCCTGAGCAAGGTTAGGGCTGGGAAGCTGGAATAATTTCAGAGGGCTATGGGGTGTGGAATGGTCCCTAGCTGCCCAGTACCTGGGCCTGGGGTGGTCTAGGTAATGTTGGACTTTGTGTGTAAAGGTGAGAAAAGAGAGATGCTTGGAGACATAGGCTCTGGATTGGTTGGTGCTATGCTTTATACCTAGGTGTCTCTCCAAAGTTTCATGTACTCATACGTGGGGCTTATGGGAGATTATTGGATTTGGGGGTGTGATATTCATCAGTAGATTAGTTCACAAGGGGCTGAAACTGCTACCGGCTGTGAGACAAAATAAAGCTTTCCTGCTTAGAGTTGTGGGTGGCAGGTACTGTGTCTGAGCAACGAGAAAGTAACTACTACAGTTGGTTTGCATATTAATGGCAAACTCACAGAAGAGTCATTGGTTATCTCTAAAAATTAGCTAACTCCAGGAGGGGCAGTCTCTCCCAGGCCAGCAAAGCCTCCGAGATGTTGAAGCATCATCAATTATTGAAATAAAACACATAACTAATTAGACAGATTTATAAATAATATCTATGACAGTATGTGTGGAATAAAATATATCTTTGGCCCTTCAACTGGACTGTCAATGATTCCAGATGTCTCTGCCTATAATAAATCCAAATCAATGCTTCCCCACATCCCCCACCACCACAGCCTCCGCCTACTCACTTCTTTCCTTTCTCTCTTCACCTGCACCTACAGCTCCAGGTGTTCAGTCCTCCATGTCCTCATCTGCCAGCCACGCCAAACCCCTTAACTTCTCTTTACAAATAAGCTCTCCAGAGCTAACTTTTTGATTGCTTTAACCAGTACTCCCAATTGTATTATTGCTGTGTTCTACACATCCAGTTTTCAAATATTCACCCTGTTTTCTATCCCCTCAAATACAAATTTGTGAGTTTTTAGTGTTGCTGAAGAAAACTCTCACTCCTTTTGTTACTAATGCCAAGAATTATGAGATCCAAGCTCACCTGGACATTACCCTGAGCCCCACAACATTGCTATACAAGTACCTTCACACTGGGATCACCCAGAGACCTTTTTACATACTGGCTCATGACAGATTCTTATTTCCTTTGTCTTAGTGGAGGTAAAAGCATTGGATATTTTAAAAGCTCATTTTAGGAGATTCTAAGATGCATTTATGGTTGGAAACCACGTCCCCTATATCAGGATTGCACACCCTTCATCATGGAAGAGGACACCCTCTTGCTTCTTAAATTTAATCTTCCTGTTGGATTACAGCTCTATCTTCACCCACCTACTGGGAGCTCCTAATTTTTTTACTGCTTCTCTTCCTGTGATCTGAACTCAGATATGTAAACATCTTTAATGTAAGACTGTTCCAATTATTCTGAATGCACAAATAGTTTCTTTCAAATGCCAAGTTCCAAGTAAAATGAAATTGTTAGATTCCTAGGAATTTGCAATTCCCATATGATAAAGTCTTCCCTGGGCTAAGTGACTAAGTAACTAAAAGGTGGATTAGAAGAATTTGGGGTGGAACT